TTCTAATTAACAATTAGTGTGTAACCCGTCAAAATTATGACAATATTTTTCTGAAAGGATTTAGGCAAGCATCCTTAGTCTCTTCCATTATAAGACTTAATTTTTTTCGCTATTATCTTAATAAAACATGTGATTAATACATCAAGAACTTAATATCAATAAAAACGGTAACAGCACGTAAAAAAATATAATATATTTAAAACCCAAGTAAAACAGTAATAATATATTTTTATATATGATTATGTATATATTTATATATATTTATATATAATATATCTAAATAATAGATCAATATCTATAATATAATAAATAAATATATATAAATATATGCACAAATATGCATAAATATATTATTCAAATTAGATGGTGACTATAAAGAGATTTTTTTATTATAATTAATATATATTATAAAAATTATTTAATAGTGATAGTGATTATAAAGAGAATATAACTATATAGAGATTTTTTTATTAATTAAAAATTCAAAAAAGCAAAATTGAATAATTATAAAGAAATATAATTATAAATGAGTATGATTATAAAGGGATTTGACTGTATTTCATAATTGATATTCTCAATAAATTCAATTGTTAATTTATTTTGTTAGGCATCATTAATAGATCCTGTTATTTATTTTGAAACTATTTATTAATTTCTTTTGCATTTTTATTTTATTTTTCTATCTATTTCTATTCTTTATTAATAATAATTAGTTAATTTGTGTACAAGCTATCACAGAAGATCTTTAGAATTTTTAGTGAACTCTATTAATTATAATTTATTCAGTCTTTGTTCTTTCATTATTATGTTACTTTGTTAGTTCATTAATTTTACAATTTTTGAATTAATGAAAACAATAAAATTCTAAATTCAAGTAAGCAATTCCTTAGCTCATTCATCTTTTTTTAATGATCTAAATTTTTGAAGAATATCTAATTGTCTCTGATTTTTTACATAACCAGTTACACCAGCATTTGTAATGCATAAAGTTGTGAGTTCAGCAAGACATATACAAAGCATTATCATAACATCAGCAAGAGCTTGATAATCAGGTTGATGTTATACATGAAAATTGACATGATTTTGATCGCATGATATAATCCGCATCGAATCATATGTCACATGTACTACCTGGACCCGCACTTTAGTGATAACGAACTTTTTGAAAATTTTTCTTATGTTTCCTGGGCACTTCGTTAAATCAAGTCCTGATTGTATACAGTCAAACCTGAATACAACGAAGTAATCAGTAAAAAATTTGAAGATTTATTTAGTATCGAGATGAATTTAGTAATGAAATTCATCTTGATACTAAATAAACCTCCAAATTTTTGCTTATCTACTTTTTTTATAGAATTAGTAGTTGGAAACTTTACTAAAAAATTTTTTTGATCGGTTTTAGAAGCTAAATACTGATGATTTTTTACATTTTAAAATTGAAGTGATTGAAATTAAGAATTTTGAAGAGCTTTTATAGTAATTGTTGCAACATCTCCGATAATGTTTATTAAATCTTTGCAATTGGAGATAAAGTTTGTTAAATTGGCAAAAGAAATAATATAAATAGATGAAATCACTTGTAACTTTAATCCCTTTTCTTTTTAAAATTGGCATCAAAGTGTGATGTGCCAGTTACCGTAAAATACCGTTACAAACCACACAGGTTTTTCTTGTATCGTACCCGGGGGTACTAATCAAGAATCTCAAAAACTAATGCAAGAATCGGTCTTAAGTGACTAAGTAAATATGTAGAAAAACATGATTACATACATCTTATCATTATTGGTCAAAAACTGATTAAAAACCAATTCTGAGAAACCTACAGGGTACATAATATGGGGGGTATACTATCGAGGGGGTATTTTGCACGGTATTTTAAATGTTGAATATTATTCAGTCATTATTGTCACCATTATCTTTAACTATTTTATATCCTCGTCCGTTACATCCGTTTCTATAATACTGGCGTTCTCATGGATTGCGGTGGTTGTGATACTGCTCACTTGCTCATCTACTATAAATTGGTCGTTAGGTTCTTCCGTGGAAACGATGATACCAAATCGTAATTTTTTGTACTCAGCCTCGGTCACCCAATTTTCTAGTTCCGGAGGACTATGTTTTTGTGGCTTTATTATTGCGATGTATCCTTCAGAAGAGGGCTAAATTTTCAATTGTTAAACGATGATAATGGTCAGAACGAAGATAAGTCTTTCGTTTCATAAATTTAGAAATGAATTAATAAATTTCCGACTTACTTTTTCAAATAAATACGCGGGATTATCAACAATTTTCCCGTTCCAGTCTACCAAGAAACCTGTCACGGGAAACTTGATGTTTAATGCGTAGTTCTCGAATTTTGGATTCTTTGTGATAAAGTCTTTGATATCCCCGTGTTTTTTGTCTTCTTTTACTGTGATGGATGTGGACGTGTTTTTGTCGTGGTTTATTATTGCTTCTGATTCCGAACCAAGATTTGTCAATAAAGCTGATGAGGACGATGATGATGATGAGGATGTTTGAGATAATCTTGACACTATAATTGTACAAAGATTAATATTTGGTCGAAAAGGACGATGTTTCTTTCCAATTAACGATATGACATTTTGGTTGAATGCGATGGAAACAGTTATTGATTTCTCTAAGTTTTCAGTCGTGGACGAATTGGAGTGGGGGTACTTCGAAGCTTCTTGTATTAGTGGATGAGTAGGAGCTAATCCCAGTACACATAGACTTTTTTGTTAAGGAAAATAGATTGTGAAAAGATTTCCCTAACACGACGACATTAAATTCAATTTTGCATACCCGTTTGGAGGTCGATATATGTAAAAATCTTCTTGTTTTTCTTTATCTGCATTTTTTTAATTTTTCGAATTTGATCACGCGTCAATAATTTGCGAATAAATAACGTAAATATTATACACAAACCTGGATCTAGAAAATAAAACTTTCGATAATATCGATCCAAATACGAAATCGGATCTTTTTCGAGTTTCTGCGCGAATTTTGTGTATTTCGATATGTCATTTTCTGGTGTTGTTGATGTTACAGATGCTACAGATGATAAAAATATATTATTTCTATGATCATTATTAATGTTAGCATCATGAGTGATTTCGGTTTCGTTCTTGTCAATGGTTCCAGACATTTTCTCCACATGGGTTTAATTAAGCAGCAGGATTTCTAGGATTTCTAGTTTTTCGTAGACACGTGATATACCTACACCATTGATTGATTGATTGGTTCATAAGCCGGAATTTTGTATTTATTCTTTCCAAAATAACGATAACACTTTCAAAAAATGGATATGGACATTGACGAACCTACTATTTCTCCATCAGCAAAAGCTGGTAAAGCAAAAGATAAGGAGGAGAAAAAGAAGTTTGAGGTGAAAAAGGTAATATAAATCACTGTCTCGTTATCGTAATAAACCTCTTCTGAACTGCGGGTCCAAAACTAACTAACTATTTATTTTACTACTATATGTTTGTGTGTTCTCTCGCATCTACGAACCTTCTGTTGGTTTATGTTTATTTACTTAATTTTTGGTTTTCTGGCTCTTGATTAGTGGAACGCAGTAGCCCTATGGGCATGGGGTCAGTATTGACTTTTTTTCGTTGTTAATAAAACATTGATTTTTGCTTTCGAATAGATTTTCTCAGAAAACAGTAATACCTAAATGTTTTATTAATGCAGATATCGTCGTCGATAATTGTGCTATTTGCCGAAACCACATCATGGATCTATGTTCGTTATCACTTGGTTTTTGTTGAACGATTCACCCTCGTTGGCTCAATGCTATCTTATATAGCAATAATATTAATTTTTTCCTTAATTCAGGTATTGAATGTCAGGCCAATCAGGCGTCTGCGACAAGTGAAGAGTGTACAGTGTAAGTTTATATTCATATATGGTGTCTATTTGATCCATAATGATAGCATAATAACACAATAACATAATAACATAGTGCCTGGGGAATATGCAACCACGCCTTTCACTTTCATTGTATCTCTCGTTGGTTAAAAACACGGCAAGTTTGTCCTCTGGATAATCGAGAATGGGAATTCCAAAAGTATTTACTTTGTTTAGTTTCTTATCTCGTTTCTGTGAGTAAATTATAGAGATTAATGAAATATCTAATTCATTATTAGATACGGACGATGATTCAACATTTTCTTCCTATATATTACACTTTCAAATCTAATTAGACGTTTTCCTCTACTGTTTGTTTCCTCTTCTTTCAATCTTTTTCCTTGCTTCTTTTCCATGATATCCTTGTTTTGTATGTTATTATTCATGTATTGCTTTTTTTTTTAATTGGATGAATTAATCTTAAAAGAACTTTTCTTTTTAATACCGATTTTGAATACAGAGGAAGACAAACAGGTTGGTAAATAATGATGATTTAGACAACTTTATACTATTGCTTACTCTACTAATAATAAATAAATTATGAAATCAACTATAAAATGATACTAAATAATACATGAAAAGGTTTTTTTATAATAATTGATTTTATGTCAAAATCATGGAATAATTTTCGGTAGGTGTTTTTTCTTTATTTTTTGTCTATTATAATTTGCACGATGAAAAGAAAAAGTGACAAAGAAAAACTTCAATGATGCAACAATTACAAGAATTTCTTCACTTTCTGAATTCACACATAAAATGAAGACGTTTTAGGACACCTCTGAGCGAATTTTCTCGGTTCCTTTTTTTATTCACGTGTCGTTCCACTTTATCAACAAAAATATTTTTACTAACCTGACTACTCTTTTTTTTGTTTGCTACAAAGCTTTTTAGATGTGATGACGAATAATGCAAAAATTTTGTTGATACTGACAATTGGACAAGACAACTGTATTACTGGGGATATGCATAATTGCCTGCATTCATACCTGGCATCTATCTAATAAATAAACTATACTATCTGCTCGCGCCTAATACACACGCAATAAATTATCATTGCAACGGCACATGGTATATCGATTTTTAATGTGCAAATAATTTGTACAATACATTTTTTTTGAAATGATAATGGTAAATACCTCAAAAATAAAATGAATAATAATAATAATAATAAGTGGAAATTATTTTTCATATGCGTTGAGAAAAAGGTACTATAAAATGAAAAAATGTTCCAGAAGATCCCCTCCCTCCACCAAAAAAGAGCTTGACCTTCAATAAATTAATAAATAATGGCAATAAAAACGAAGATTGTTCAACTCGTGCAAGAATAACTGTTGGTGAGTGGTGAATTATAACAAATAGTTATTAGTTATCCGATAGATAAATCATTTCCAAGTTCAAACGTGAATAATTCATCAATATTAACAGAATCAACCACATCAAATGTTGGAGCCACCGTTGTTGTCTGCTCATGCTCATTGTCATTTTTAGTATTGTCGTTACTATCAATATTAATCATGATGCTGTCATTTGACGGCAACGCAATGGCACTATCGATCAGTTTTGACGAAGTCCTGTGGTGAGTGACACGTGGTCCGAAGGTATTTTTCAGTAAAGGGAGGTTCAAGTATTTTTGACGCTGAGCTCTAAAATATAAAGTAATTGATTTAAATATGAACAATCGAATTTAGGTAACTGTTTGAAAAGATAGAAAAAACAACCGACTTTCTTTTTAGCAGATATTCTTTCTGATTGTGAATCAATCGATCTTGCTGTTCTCGTACTAAATCAACACCTGGCAAGTTCTCAAGAATACTACGACCATGCTCAAATTGATGTCTTAATTTTTCCATCTACGCGAAAAATAAACCACACCCACAAGAGTTAAAATATAGTAATCAGAGAAAGCCGAATTAATATCCTTTACCAAATTATATTTCCCTAGTTCCTACCTAGACATAATCTATATATTTTTTACAAATAATAATTACCAGTTGGTGAACCTGTGGTCTACTATCCGTTTTCGACTCGAAAACATCAAACAATTCATATATTTTTGGCAAAAACTTGAACTCCTCACGTGGAAATACATCTTGTAAATGCGGTTGCTGAGGAGGCTGCTGCTGTGAATTTATCGGCTGCACATTTTTCAGACCGCCTGTAGCGGTGGTGGTACTATTATCTAAAACATCAAAGCCTCCAAGTATAGTGTTTCCTAACGGCACACCTACTCCCGTATTACTGGTATTAGCTGCTGTTGTTGCTGCAAGATTGGCATTACCACTAACACTATCATTTCCAGGAACATCCACGGGCACAAGATTGAGATTCAAGTCTAACGAGTATGGCATAACATTGGATAAATCTGTGGTGGTACTAGTTCCGCCGCCAGTGCCCGAGGTGGAAGCTAACGGTTCGTCAAATATTGCAACTAAAGTATCGATGGTGTTCGGCGAAAGTGTATCATTGGGGTCATACATTTTGAAGAAGAATGCATTTTTTTAGACGGATTTTTGCACTCCTGCTAGGTTTTGTCGATCCCGGAAAATTCTACTGTAATGTTAAAGGCTGATCTTAGGATAAAGATCAGAGTTAGAGTGGAAAATCAAGGCTGTATGTAAAATTGTCTCCCGACATTTTTGATTAGCGTAATTATAATCCGTGCTCGGTTCCTGATCACAAACCAATAAGGATGCGCATATTTTTGAACAGCCCGACAAAACAGATCCGAAAACGTGAAAAATACGGCGATAAAGTCACGTTTTTTATAATACCCAACATTTTTTGACCGGTCAACACAATTTTTAAGGAATAAACCAATCAAATCGCAAGATTAATGTGTAAACTGCTTTTTGCAAAAATATTAATATTTCGATTGATTTGGAATATGAGAAATATATGTAAAATTTCATATAAAATCAGTTTTATAAACATAATTTCGAGATAAAAGCTATTTTTTAAAAATAAATATTTGTTTTAAATTTTTCTATTATACATTAATCTTGCGATTTGATTGGTTTACCTCTTAAAAATTTAGTATCCTAGCCATGGAGAAAAAAGGTTTGATCACGTGAGTTTAATCAAATACAATCAATAAGAATATGTAAAAATTTTGAAAAAAAATGTTGTGAAGATAATTTTATATATAATTTTAATTTTAGCTTTTTAATTCTAATTCTAAGACTTGATCTAATATTGATCAAATATTTTAATAAATCTATTTTAGGTTATGTAATTGATACTTTTTTTCATTATGATTAGAATACTAAAAAAAATTATATTAATCAAACAAAAAATTCTGAATATTATAAAAAATATAATTGTTACTTTATTATATAAAAGTATCAAAAATATAATATAAATTAAGAATACTTATAAATTCATTGTAACTAGTAAATTAGTTGTAATAAAAAATTTCTTGATTATATAAGCATTATAATTTCATAATTTCTAATTTTAATTTCATAATTTTTTAATTTTATAATTTCTTAATAATATATTTAATATATTTAATATATCTAATATATCTAATATATCTAATATCTAATATATTCATTATATTTAATATATTCAAAATATTTATATATTTATTATATTCAATATATTTAATATATTTAATATATTTAATATATTCACTAAATTAATTATATTAAAAATATTAATTATATTAAATATATTTATTATATTAATATATTTTCAAATTATATAAATATAACATGAAATAAAGTTTTGAATATAATTAATTGATTATAACAAAATTTAATTAGTCAATAAATTATTTCTTATTTATTATTAATGAAATTTGTATATTAATTGATTAATTTATATTTATTATATCTACTAATATACTTATATTTTGTATTATTAAATATTAATCAAGTTAAAAAAATATTAATACTATATTATTTTAGAAATATTTCACATTAAGTAGATATATATTATTATAAGTGAACTTTTGGATAAATATTTTCATAATATAAATATTTATATTATTTGTATTTTGTGTACTTGATCTCATTAAATTCTATCATTTTGAGATTATTGCATAATGTATTTTCTTTTGTTTATTAGATAGACTCTTATTATTATTAATAAATAATATGTTTAATTAATATGAGACAGTTTTAAAGCAATATAATACTAATATTTTTAGTAACTTGATTAATATTTAATAATGTAAAATATAAATATATTATATACAATAAGTATAAATTATACAAATTTTATTAATAATAAACAAGAAATAATTTATTGACTAGCTAGATTTTCAAAATTTTATTCATATTGTATTTATATAATTTGAAAATATATTAATATAATAAATATATTTGATATAATTAATATTTTTAATATAATTAACTTAATAAATATAAATATATTAAATATTTTGAATATATAGTCAAACCCTTTTATAGTCACCACTCTCAGGAAAGCAAAATTTGGTAACTATAGAGAGAATTAGAAATGACACAGCAAGTACATGATGCTTATTTGTTACCTGTTGCAACACATTGCAACTTCAGAATTTTATAAGCTGCAACTAGTTGCAACTAGGTGATACTTTATTTGTCATCATGTTGCAACAGTTACCACGTTATCTTTAGAGGAAATGTGACTATAAAGGGATTTTTTTACTATATTTATATGTAAATGGGAAAGCAAAATAAAGTAATTATAGAGAAATGTGACTATAAACGGGTGTGACTATAGAGGAGTTTGACTGTATATATTGAATATATAATTAAAAAATTAAAAAATTATAAATTATAGTAATATATTATTTATTAGTAATAGTGAGTCTATTTAACAAATAAAAAATATATATTATGCAATAATTGAATTTAATAGAATTAAATATATAAAGTATTAATAATATAGTTGTTGATCAAATATTTACATTACAAAAATATAGTAAATAACAACAAAAGATATCTAATACTATATTATAATACCAAATTTTTATTATAAATCTTATATATAATAATTAATTTAACCAATCAAAATTATTTATTTTATATATATTAATCAATCTGATCAATTAGAATTCTTTATTTTTATTAGTAAACATCAAAATTATAATTTCACAAATTTATATCTAAGAAAAAAAAGAAAATTAAAAAAGTATTTTAACAAAATTATAACTTTATCAAATAATTATTAATCTATAAGAGGATTTTTTATTTTGTCTTTTCTTTTTAAATTATAATATTTTTTGTAATATTTTTTAAAAAGTGAATGTTTTTTGTTATTTGATATTATATTTATTTAGAAATATACTTATAATAATATTCATTTCTTGATCTATAAATTAAAGAAATTGATATATCAAAATATTTTGTACAATAAAGTTCAAAATATTTTTAAAATATAATTCTTTAAGAAAGTTGAAATACTAATAAAATATAATTTAATAATGTCTATTTAGCTTTAAAATAATTCTATTTTTTTATAATTAAATTATTTACGTTCTGATTGTATTTAATTATTTTTGTGATGCATTTTCTTTTTAAGTTTATATAATTTAGAATATTTAACTTAATAATTAGTTAAAATTTTATATGTTTTTTTAATTAATTCTGAGATATTTCTTCAAAAAATATTAAAGATTGAATATTATTTTTATAATAAATTACCTGACATTTTTGTTTTAACAAATATTTTAAGCATATATTCAGATATTGTATATATCATATTCCAGATAACAACTTGTAAAAATTTTTTTTCTTTTATGTGTTCAGATGTCTATTCTCTTATACCATTTCATTTAAAAAAAGCTATACCAGATTTGGACTTTTACATTTTGTTTATCTTAAAAATCTTTTGCTAATGTATTTATATATGTGAAAACTATTATATTTATATAATAAATATATTAATATTTATATTATTGTACAAAGTTTTTCCAATTATGATTTTAACTTTATCAAAATATTTCTTTTTCTCTTATATGTAAATACATATAATTATTAATTTCAAATTTAAAAGTCTTATTTATTATTTTAAAAATTATTATAAATAAGCTACAGAAAATACTGTAATTAATCAAGTTATATGATGGAATTGATTAACATTTATGATTTTAATCACATTGTAATATTAATAAATTTATCAGTTTATTACTAATAATTTACAAATAATTGTCTCAATAATAATATTAAAATTTTCAAACCATACATATTACTACATTATTGTTGGAATTCTCATATTGAGATATTTTGACAAAAGGATTACTAATCCATATGAGGGTTTTACTGATTCGGATAGGATGGAGTGGGGACGGATTTAGGGATTTTGGGTGGCGAAATAGAAATCGAATTTGTCGTTTACTATTAATTTAAATAATTTTATTTTCGAAAGAGAAAGACCAGTTATCAAAAAAATCAATTTTTTGCCACCGGCTTGATATGATGGTGAGAATATTATTAAACATTAATTAATTTACAGAAATGTTGATAATAAAACTAATTACGCCTCCGCCTCGTCCTTCTCTGATTTAACGTACAAATTAATAATCCATATGTATCTGCAATTTACATATACACATATATATAAATGGATGTATGTGTATTTTTAACCCCCCATTCCCAAAAATGATGATGTAATTATAAATAAATTATTAAATAATTGTAATGTATATATATTGTGGATGGAAATGTATGAAGATGACGATGGATATGAAAGATTAATTGATTGTCTTTTAAATGAATTTTGAATATTGAAAAAAATGGACAAACAGAAAAAAACTTAAAACAAATTTTGATTTTTGATATTAGTTTCCAAATAAATTCCACAAATAATTAAAGACCCACTGGTACTCCAACTGCACTCAAAGCACCCGATCCATTACTAACATCACTCGCAGTACGAAAATGTCCACTACCACGTGATCTACCAACACTAATCTCAGACGAAAGTCTACTTCCAGCTGAGCCGCTTGTTGTTGTGGACGCATTCGTAGTAGTTGCAGCACTTTCACCGAAATCACCTGCTGACCAAAGTTGTTTCGGATTAACGGTAACTGTTACAGTTTCTGTCGATGTTGATGAAATATAATCTAGGGAATCTAATATTGGTGGACGTTTACTTGTAGCTGGTGGCGATAATGTATGCATTCTTGTTGTAGAAGTTGGCGATGTGATGGATGACATTACAACAGGAGTAGGAATTGAAGAAGGAATTGGAGGTGCTGGCATTAAAGGCTCATCAATTGGAGTGGGTGGAAGTGGTGAAGTTGGAGGTGGAAGTAGCGGAGGTGGTATATCACTAAATGATGATGATATCAGACTAAGTCTTTTTAATGAGGATGAACTGGATACATTTCGAGGTCTGCTATTAAATGAAGAATTGGATGAAGATGATGTTAGAGTTGGTGGTGATGTCACTTGAGCTATTATTGTAGTAGGTGATTGAATCCGCGGTGGTGGAGTTAATGATGTAGTAGGTGAAACGATGGATGATTTGATTGACGTGTGATTAGTATTGATTGTTGATAGCGGGGATGGTGCACGTTTAAGGCTTTCAGTAATTGAAGGTGCTGTTGAACCCGGAGGAGAAATATGACTAGTTGCACTTGTAGGGGGAAAAGGTTTCATTGAGAAGTAATCAGAATCATTTGATACTATTGGACTTGATCGTCCATTAGTTACTAGTCCGGCAAGTGCCAATGTGGATCTTCTTTCTCGATTTTGTGGCGATGCTGGTCGTTCATTTAACCATTCTCCCTTATTTATTTTTTCCATTAACTGAGGATTATCTGCATTATTCTCAAAGGTAGCGACGGCGTGGGCGGAAAAAAGTTCATAATCATTTCGAGCTGAAGAAGAAAGTTTTGCGGAAGGAGGTGGAGTGGGTAAAACTGATGGCATATTATTAATGATTGTCGGTTGATCAAGATCAAAATTCACATTAACATTAGTAAGTGAACTTGATGACGATGTACTTGCTCCTCGTTCACCCACCGCCATCAAGCTAACACTACTTCGATTTCCGCTCCTTCGTCTCTTGCTTCCTCTTGTACCGTCAACACTACCGTCAATGTGACTATTTTCGCTTATCATCGTCATGCTGTTATCATTATTGAGACCGGTGAAATAACTTCGTCGTCGCATTTTTGTGAAATCGTAATTCAAGAATTTTTCTTCCATCATTCGCATCTCTTTTGATAGTTCACTGAGATCTTGGTTCGGATTTGCGCGTTTTTTTGCTTTAAGCGGATTGTCTTCGAGTAAAAGTTCTTCGAGTTCATGGGTTGCATCGAAATTTGCTCTTTTTGACTATCGTAATAAAAGCATTAACGAGTTTGTATTATCCCAATGATAAATATATCTGATAACACAATTATCACTTACATCTGGTATAAATGGAGCTTTTGCTTGTTTTGTATCAAGCCGATCCCATTCAATATCGCTGAACCACGGATGTCTCTTTATATTTTCGATTCCATTTGGTCCACATCCAAGTCGCTTCGAAATATCACGTTCGCAAAACTATATAATTTAATTTCATTGATGAAGAACAAGAATACGATGACAACGACAACGACAACGACAACGACAAAAGCATAAAATAAAAAATAAATACCCTAGACAGACAATCAATACATTCTGCGGAAACTAATTCCAAAACATTCTCGGGAAATTGAATAGGATCGTGTAGAATAGCTTGTGTGAGTGTAGTATTGCTCTTTCCTCGAAATGGTCGCTGAAAGGTATATATAAATTAAAAAATCGGGTAATTAGTTACACTAGTTATCTAAAATTTATGTTAACATAGAAAAGTTATTCTTATTATTATGAAATAATATCACCACTTTCATACCTTACTAAAAAGCAATTCATACATCACAACTCCCAATGACCACCAATCAACCGAGTCAAAATAACCCTTTTTTGTTAGCACCTCAGGAGCTAGAAACCAAACAATTATACTTATCAGTTAATAAACATCCCATCCAAAAGGAAAAATTTTATTAATCATTTACCCATATAAGCCATAGATCCCGCAATCGATGTGAGCGGTTTCTTTTCCGTATAATGAACCGCGATATTAAAATCTGTTAAATGAGCATGACCTTTTTCATCCAACAATACATTATCAGGTTTAAGGTCCCTACAAATAATTTATCACTTTATTAGCCAATAATATGGAGCAATAAAAATTAATAAAAAAAGTATAAAGATATAATTACCGATGCACAATCTTTTTCGTATGTAAATAATGTAACCCCAAACTCACTTCCGCTACATAAAACTTCACCACCTCCTCCTTCATATGCCCTTGCCGGTCCAAATGAAACCGCAGGTCCCCGCCCAACATCAAATCCAACACCATAAACATATTTTCGTCATCTTGAAATGCGTATCGCAGATTACACACTAACGGGTACTCGATCTCTTCGAGTAATCGACGCTCTTGCACAATATTTTCTACGGCTCGCATTTTGATACATTTCGCTTTGTTGATGTACTTTAGAGCATATAGTATTTTGGAATGTTTGTGTTGTACTACACGGACCTGGTTATTTGGTTTTTATAAGTTTAATTTGCATCATTAGCGTGGAAAATTGATGGTCCACTTTGATAGTTGAAGCATTGTATTAAGAGAAATTTTACCTTGCCGAAAGCACCTTTCCCTACAGATCTTAGTAAATGAAAGTGAGATAATTCGACTATAATGATAAAAGTTAATAAATATAATAATTGTTAAATATCTCGAATTTGAGTTTTTAGGAAAGGATGTCGTAATAAGATATCCAGATATTAAATTTTTATTGGAAAGCTAAAGTGTGAACTATTATTATTTATCGGTCCTTCTTCCATATTCACTATCTTGCGATTATTTAACATTAACAAATATAGTATGAAAATTCGTTTTCGCTTTATTTATTGATAATGTGTTGCTAGACCCATGAGCTATAAGTTTTCAGGCATTTAATCCATCTCTCTCGCGCACACTTTTCATTAATCAACAAGTCTAAATCCCATTGCTGTAATTTCATGCTCATAAAAATCAAAATCAAAATTACCCTCAGCATCAAAATCTATTTCTTCTTCTTTACAACAGGCGCCGCCCATTTCAGGTTATGTGAGGTGTAAAACAATATTAAATATACGAGTATATAAATAATAAATAACAAACAAAAATGACTATATTACAAAAAGAAAGAGAGAATAATATTTTTATAGCAAAGGAGCAGGGACGGTGAAGAAGATGGGAGAGGATGTAATTAATGTAGTAAAAATGTAGTGGTAACGCTCTTTTAAGCGAGACGAGACGACAAAAATTATTTTAGTTAGTACGAGAGCATAATAATAGCAGTAATAAGAATTAGGATAATAATATATTATATTGACAAAGGGTATAATGCATGGTGGTAGATCGAATTCAATCCGAATTCGTTGTGTATCGATATATAATGAGTACTATCTAGTCTTTTTGGGACACAAAATATATTTAATGCAAGACGAGTTTTGTGTCTAGATTTTTATTATGTTCTATAATAAGGGTTATAACCACTCACGGGAATGATTAGGCATAAATGCATGATGTCAATGATTGTGTGCTTCTCGAGTCCGTGTGACGTATACTATCTCCTATTGAAAACTTGAAATTCCTTTGGATCAGTCCGATAATTTTTTTCTCCTGCCTGTCAATTCAAATTTCGAACAAGTGTTTTTCGTTTTAATTATTCATACCTACTTATATAATATAATTTAAATAAATTGAACAAGCATGTCACCAAATCTACGCAAAAAAGCTGCTCGTGGTGCCAGACGCCAAAGTGGGGTTACACCGTCGTCGTTGCTAGCCAACACGAACAATACACCAATTAGTAGTCACCATAACACGTCGGAGGAAGATGCGTGGAGTGAGACGTCGGGTGATACTGTTGATTCGTGGGGGTCTGCTGGAGCTCGCGGTAGCGCAGAGCAAGAACAAGATTTAATGGTTAATTATGAAGATCAAGTTATTCATTGTATTGAAGAATTGGAAGAAAAGAGAACTAGGTATATATATAACTTGTTCTTCTGTACGAAGTAGATATTAAATGTACTATTAATAAAAGTTGGATGATTCCTATTTCGATTTTTCGATATATGCCATAATGAAGATTAAATTAATTTTATTTTTTTTAATAATAGTAAAAGAGAAGAAGCTTTGACAAAATTGATACGTCTTCTCTCACATAGATATGTTGCTGAGGTTCTCGAATCACGAACTCAGACATTATTGGATCTGTTGAATCGATCCATCAAGAAAACTAAAAGCTATACAGAAAACAGACTTGCTGCAAAAGGTAAACTTTTTGATTTCTGATTTAGTCTTATGAAAGAATTAATGATAATTTCAATTGATGACGAGACTTCTTTGCAAATTATTAGTTATGTCGTTGATGTTTATTACACTCGGTGAAGGACAAGAGACAATGTTCTACGACATACTACAATTATTAAAGTATACTATCACAAATACCGCGTCTACCGGAGTTAAGAGTGAAGTAAGTATCGATACTCTCACTTTGGTCAATAACAATATTACTAATAAGATTCCGATATTAATAATCAAATAATATTTTAAAGTGCATTAACACACTAGGTCTAGCCTGCTTTATCGCCGCATCAAAGGCGGACGCACTCGAATTGCTAGACTTCTTTTATGACATTATTTCCTCAAATGCGAAAAATATCAATGCGGTCAATGACGGCGCTTCAATCACGAGCGCGTTGAATGCATATGGTCTATTATACGCTGGTTTATGGGGAGATTATCGTGACAGTAAGTTGTCGTCGTCTTCGGGAGCACATATCCAATTCGAACGTATAATGCCTACTTTGATGAAACAACTTGAATCGACAATAATGGAAGTCCGTGTAGCAAGCGGTGAGAATATCGCGTTGATGTTTGATACGCTGGGTATTGGTAGAAAGTATTCGTCATCGAGGGAGTATGAGGATTTGGTATTTATTTATTTATTGATCACTGATTATTTGTATTTAATGAGTAAATTGGGTAACAATAATCATCTTATTTTTTATAGGCTGAGCCCGATAAAGTCGATTGTCATCAGATTGATCAGTTGACCACGCTGCTTAGTACACTGGCTACCGATAGTAATAGACGCCGCAACAAAGCTGAACGTAAAGCGCAAAGATCCGCATTCAGAGATATCCTCAGAACAGTTGAAGTATGTACGTTTTAATTTTATTAATTCATCACCTTCAAGATAGCTGATATACGTTCAAATCATACACACACACACACACATATGTATATAAACAGGAGGGTGTTGGTATCGAAGAAAAATTGAAGATCCAGAAACAGACGTTATTCTTTGACACATGGGCAAAAGTAATTCAACTGAATGCCTTCAGATATGCATTAGCTGAAGGGTTCTCCTGCCACATCGAACAAAACACCTTGCTTCAATCAATTTTTGAGTATGTACCTCCCTCCGCCTCCGTCAAAGGCAGTCGTCCAGGCTCGGCGATGAGTTTCTATGGTTCAGACGTTGACTTGTCGTTAGCTTCTTCTACATTGTACAAACAAAAAGCACTAAAAGAAAAAAGCAAATTCTTGAAAAATAGAAAACTTAATAAGCGTAGTGATTTTTTCGATGTAGGCTAAGTTATTTATTAGTATTTATGTATATTGGTGGTGACTGTGACTGTGTAGTTATCAAGAAGGAAAGGTAGAAACTGCAGTAGGTAGATTTACCTACCAACAATTCAATAATTAGATTTTTTTGTTGAACATTTTTGAGATGTTTATTGTATAATTTATACATTTTTTATGATATAAAAATCACTGTTTAATTTTATAATATATATGAAATCATAATAATTGAAAGTAGTTTTGATTAACTTAATGCGATGTTCAATATTAGTACTTGATGAGTTATAAAGAACATGCAACATTCTTTAGGGTGATATCGCCTTTCATCCCTCTTCTTTCAAATCATGCAACACATGCAACACTTGTTCCGATTTATCAATAGCAAACTGAACACAAGCCGCAATCCCAGCAGGCGGTTATTTATGCAGTCTTCATCTCGACCGTCTGTCGTTGCTTCAGTTCCTCTTTTAGTTGCGCTAGGAATTGGTGAGCGTCTACATGCGGGAGATCACTTGTGAGGTCTGGCTGTTGCGTATTTGATAAAATATCGTACCTGCTAACGCAGCAACAGATTTTTATGTGAAGGGTCACCTTCCTTGCTCTTTTTACGCACCAAATCATTTGCAAAAGATTTTAATTCTGCGAGATTAAGATTCGTTTGCTCCTTCTTGATTCCTTCACCTGGGATCTGCCCTTCATCAATTTCATCAAGTGGTCTAAGTGTGGATTCCTCGGTCGTTGCTTTATAAATAGAAATAGATGTGCTTGTAGTTAATAAATCAGATTGACAAGTCAACAATCTGTATGTTACCGTATTCTTCCGGAAATAAGCACCATCCATGAATAAGCACCATTCCCAATTTTGCTGGCATAACAAGAATTCATTTTATTAGCAATTATTAATTAAAAAAATTACCCATAAATAACCCATTTTGGAGTCCAAACTGTGTCAGTTAAGTGGTGCTTATTTCCGGAAGAATACGGTAATTATTTGTTCCTATTTTGTACCTGCTAGGAAACCAAATCGAAGATTTTGCTGCCTTCCATTTGACAATGGAACACATTCATCCATGGGTCTCGCAGCAAAGATGCCTTTAAGTGAAGAAATCATTTTTATTATTTCTTGGTAACGAATTTTGATTAAACAAATCTAAACTTTATACTGCTTTCTGCCAACAATTATGTCATTACGTAAAATTTAAATTACAAACCCCCAAAATGCACAGCATGGGTCCCAGCTCAAAAGAGCTCTATATATTTTGCCTTCTATAAATGCACGCTTTA